ATTTGGGCGGGAGAGTCTCCCGGCCGTCTGCAAGGTGACACCTGTAACGGGCCGTCGCCTGTCACCGTGCGACGCCTGTCACAGGCGACACGTGACCAGTCGCGTGCCACCTGTGAGGGGCAAATGATTAGGGGATTTTTATCCACCAAGCGCCGTTTGACAAGTGGACCAACCAGGTTCCGCCACGCGTCCTCCACGGACCACTTAAGACACGCCACGTGTCCACCCATGCCAAATGGACAACCGGCCATCAAGGCCCTTTTCAGTCTAGAAGCCCGATCGGCCCTAGGTTTACCTTAAACCTAGAGAGTTGCACGCTTCCCAAGGCTATAAATACTCGATTAATCCTCATTAATCGGGGGACCGAATAATTTACGGAACACACTAATAACCGGCTGATCTCGCTAGCAAAGCAGATTACCTACATTAAATACTCTCACCTAGAGAGACCTTATTACTTTAATTTCTGCATTAATTACTCCTTAATCAGGTACTAACTTGACCGTTGGAGGCGGAGCTCTCAGGAGTCTCCGTTATTTTGCAGGTACAGGCGTCCGGTTCCAGTCTCGGAATTGTAACTCTCCCGCAGGACATCAGAAAACCCCGAAACAGATATGTGCCATGCCTACTATATATAGCAAATAAATCAAATGAATATGTGGTTACAAATCTGAATGACCACACCAACTAAAGCATTCAAATTTTCAGCCACGGAATAGGTATACTATGCTAGTTGACAATGACAAATCTTGACAAAGTGTATTCAGAACAAAAGTGACTACACCATGTCGGTATGAATGACCTAAAGTTAAAGCATACTGACAAAGTTAATTCAGAAACATGTGACTACACAATGACAAAAATGTGACTACTGAATGATAAAGAGTTATTGCAATTTTGTTGCCATGAATGACCCAAAGTTAAAGTGAAATCAGAAAAAAAGTGACTACCCAATGACAACAATTGAATGCAACTATGTCGGTAACAATGACAACTGAAATCAACTTGTTAAACAACTTGTCATTCAATATTGGAAAATCAGAATACAAGTTTACATATGACAGTGAAATTAAACACACCACTAATACATGTTAAACATAAAAGACTACATTGCGCATAATTAAAAACTTAACTAATACAAGCGTACACCTACTACAACCAAACATGCTTATAAGCCCTGTAATTTACCCAGTAAGAAATTCTTGTACGACTCTTCTTCAGGAGTGAGTGGAGTAGGCGAATTCTTCATAGCTTGCACCATATCAAACCAGGTTTTCATCTTATGAATGTCAAGTTCCTCCCTTTTCCTCTGTTCCTTCTCCCTTTCAATTTTGATCCGCTCTTCCTTCAGAATGGCCTCCCTCTCGCGAATTGTTGCCAATTCCTTCATTCGTTCGCTAAGCTCAGACGAACCACTGTCCGAAGCTACTTCTTTCCCTTTACGCTTGGCCTTTGCTTTCTTCACACCTTCGGGTCGTTGTATTCCTCCAGATGAAAAACCATCCGTAGGGGTTTCATCCCTCCATCATCTCTGGACCTCTTCCCACTTCCAGCACTACCTTGCTCCTCAACATCACGAACAGCTTTTCTTTCCTCCTTTGACAAGGACCATCTCAGCTTTGGCCTCCACTTTGGATCTCTATTAAGCATTTCAACAGCGTGAGGAAAAGCGAAATTACGACCTTGGGCGAGATGGAAAAGCTTCGACGCACTTTTTATACGGTCAGCTTCGTTGTAACCACTCCCTCCCTCCGGAAGTCTACCTGCTTCATCATAGCAAGATATCCACTGTAGTGTGTCTGCTGCCAACCTTCTCCAGTGCGACGTCAGACTCTTCATAGGTCTTGGTGGAAGTATATGCGGCTTCTCCGCATGAGCAAGTTGATATGCTGCGTGTACATCGCGCCAAAGGGAAGTTGCTTTCTGGCTCGTGCCTTTAATAGCATTCTCACTGATCTCCAAGTACAACCCAATCAGAGTTTCATCTTCCGCAACTGACCAAATTCGAGTCGCTCGTGCAACAACCTGGTTGGATTTCAAGTTCGGGAACTGGTGGAGGATATTGCGGCGTCTCTGGTACGCTGTCCTCTTCGCTCTCATTGAATTGTGTGTTGCTATCATGTACAGTTTCAGGTGTACATTCTTCAATAACATGGTTTCATAGGGGAAACTGAGTGGGTGTCTGATACTGTGGAGATGGTTTGCAAAGACGTATTGCCCATTCTTTGCAAGAACAATTGAAACTCGGGATTAGTTAGCAAATCATCACTAAAACCAGAAAATTGTTGGCGGAAATTTGGGTTGTTTGGATCCATTAAAAGATTCTGCATCACAAAACAAAAGATAAATATTTGTACTAAAATTTACTAATTTTTTACAAAAGATGATTTTTTTTTTTCACATAATCACATATATACTAATTTTAATACATAACTAAATTTATATATTAAAAAAAAAATTAACCAATAATTGGAAGACTTTATTAACTACGAATTTAGTAATGTTTGAATTTAGTAATGTATGGAGAAAACACACATATACTAATTTTAATACATAACTAAATTTATATATTAGAAAAAAAAAGTAACCAATAAATGCAACACTTTTGCAACTACAAATTTAGTAATGTATGGAGAAAATATCAACAACTTTCTTCAATTACATAATGCAATTAAACAACATGGTTTTATATTTTTTTTTTCAAAAAAACACACATATAATAATTTTAATACATAACTAAATTTATATATTAGAAAAAAAAAGCAAATATATCAAATAAATGCAACACTTTTTTTACTACAAATTTAGTAATGTATGGAGAAAATATCAACAAATTTCTTCAATTGGGTTTTTTCAATTAAGTAAACATGGCATATAATATTTTTTTTTTCAAAAAAACACACATATACTAATTTTAATACATAACTTAATATTACAAAAAAAAAAAAAAAGTAACCAATAAATGCAACACTTTTTTTACTACAAATTTAGTAATGTATGGAGAACATATCAACAACTTTCTTCAATTACATAATGCAATTAAACAACATATATTTTTTTTTCAATTACATAATGCAATTACATAATATTTTTTTTTTTCAAAAAATCACATATATATTAATTTTATTACATAACTTTATTTAAATAATAATAAAAAAAAAATTTACCTCAATATGGGTGTGTTGCAACAAAAATGCTCTTCAACAAATTTAAAATGCTTAAGAAAATAAAAAAGTGGAGGATTTTAAGTGATTTCGAAAATATATCAAAATATATCAAAATGCATGTCTATTTATAGAGAATTTAATTTTATGACCGTTGGTAATTTTTTTTTTTTTTTTTTACTGAAAATATTTTTCAGAAAATGCAATGGGAAGATTATAACCGTTGTAAAACGGCTAATTTTGTCATTGGCCAACACCCTGAACATGCCACGTGTCGCGCTCCTACTCGCTGGCAGCCTGGCATGAACAGTACCCGTATTTTTTTTTCCAGCTTTCCTCCAGCTTGTGGGCCCCACCGAGATCACTGTTCATCAGAAGAAATGCCCATGCTATGGACATTTTCATTTTTGCCCATGGGCTTTTTCTTGCATTTTTGGTTTAGCTCACCATTGTGGGTGATGAGCAAAGTATTTGCTCACAAGAAATGCCCATGAGCATATATTTTGCTCATGGTTGTGAGTGCTCTTATAAGCTTCTTTTACATATAGCCCTAAGGGTCATCAATGTCAAGTTCCTTTAATAAATTAAGATATGCCTAATGTCTATCCTTAACATTGATAGTATATTATTCTGATTAATTTTTTTTATCTTTTTATAAAATTGCGTACACGGTCTTTTTATTATTCTGTTTAATTTGGTTTTTGGTATTTATTTGTATTTTTTTTTGTGTTAATATTGTATCATAGAATAAAATACAAATATAAAATCAACAATCTCTCAAATTTCTATATTTAATATTTCGTTGTTGAAAATTATCTTATGTTTTTGGTTAAAAAATGATTATTGCTTTTGTTTCTTGAATTGATATTGTAATTATGTGTGAAATTTTCTTACATTTAGTAATATGTTCCACATAAACATAGTAACTACAAAATATTTATATGTAACAGATATTGAAATATAAGTAGTATAAAATCTAAATTAGTAACAACGAATCCCTTATATCGAACTTAAAATTTGTGTTTAATCAGTTACTGGGATATATAGAAGAGATCCATGTGTTTATGATTGTGAATACTACAACTTTTATTTTGTGTTACTAAAAATAAACTAACTTATCAAACATTTATGTTGATGATAGGAGAAAACCGAAGAACATTGGAATTAACGATTTGTCATTTTTTCTTCAACGAAATATTATGTTTTAATTATGGAAAACGCCAAGTTCAATTAACGTATTAGGTTGATGTGAAACAAATCATATAATGGAAAACCCCAAGTTTAATTATCTATAGTGTTAAATATTAAAAATTCACATTCATCTATAAATATTAAAATTAAACACTAGAATAATAAAAACAAAAATCGTAAATCGGCGAAATAGATCTCCAAATTGCTGTTACACATGCAATTCTCCAGTTTAATTCGGATCACCCATCATCTTTCCAGGGGTAATTCTCCATTTTAATTACATTTCTTCAGTACTGGAATTAAACTCCAATTTCGTGATTACGAACCCTAGAAATTATTAGGGATTTCAAGGGATGTGAAAAGAAAATAAAATAAAGAAATTATTAAAAATATGGAGCAAATTGTGTACACAAATCCAGAATATTGAAGATTAAAAATATGTAAATTATTTTCACAAACAAATCTGGGAACAAAATTATAGAAAGAATAGATGAACATTATGAAGAACAATGGAGGAAAGAGAAGAACCATATAAATTGGGGATTTGTGAAACGAAAATTAAAAATAAAAATCGTAAAAAAAAAATTAAAGCAAATTATTCCATAAATTCATAATATTAAAATTTTTGACATGTAAAGTATTTTATAAACCAAATTTGGATAAAAAATTTAAAAAAAAATAGGAACATGAAAAACAAGAATAATGGAGGAAAGAGGAGAGAGAAGAGAGAAAATTAGACCCAAAAAAGGAGCTGGTTGAAATGAGAGAGGAGAGAGAGTGGGGTGGTTGGGGAGAGTGGGGACCAAGTTTATTTGAAATTTGAAAATAAAATTTCAAATGAAATTCAAATTTTTGTTTTTTTGGACTTTAATGAACAACCAATGGAAAGATGACACATCACTGGTGTATGTCTGGCCCACATACACTCAGTGTATGTGTAGCCTTAGCCTGGTTGCACATCATGACAATTACTAGTAGAAGTTTTAAACTACTTGGTAATTTATTTTCACCAAAAATATTTACTTCCCTTTGTTAATTAGGCTTTCATTTTGGTTTAGCAATGTCACCCAACTTTAATGAGGGTTGGGGCTTGGGACTTGCAATCAAATTAATGTTTTATGTTCCTCATTTTCATTTGTTCTCACATGTGAAATGTAATATTGTAAACTTTTTGAGGAAGTAGAAATCTATACATCTATACAATATATTAAAAGGTGTTCTACAAACCGTACATGCGTCACATGACAACTTTAACTTCTATCAAAAGGCCACATGTACATATGTCGTCTCATTAACTTCTACTCCGTACTAGAATTGTGCTATGTAGGATGAGGACACATGTAAATATGTTTTTTTTACACCGGATAAAACAAGTTTAATAATAATAAGAAAGCGAATTAAAAGAAGAGGACAGGGAAACTAAGTTGTTAGCTGCTTCTTTTAGGCAGATTATGAGCTCATTCCACCTTTGATCTTGATTCTTTTCGAACCACACACCAGTTTAGAGATTTTGAGTTGTTTTTCATCTCGTTGATAGTCCACGCCATACTCTTATCACCAATATCATCCTGCTGCAGAAGATCCACTAGGCCCGAAGAATCCATCTTATTTAATTTATCCATGACTTTTTTTTTTTTAACTAATTATTGATTATATACAAGAAGCTAGATTATAAATGAAGCTATTGAACTAAACAAGCAACCGAGTCCAACTATTAGTGTTTGTTCTTACTTTTCAGTACGTGAATTTTCTGAATTTTGAGATATAACATAAATTTATGATATCCTTTGCTTTTGTTTGTTGACAGAAATTGATGGATTTGTTAGAATTTCATACCTATTTTCATTGATAGATGTGATACACACAAGTAAAGTTATACGGTATATGAATCATGCATGATGAGAGATAGTAATTCTGTTTAATGACTATTAGACTTAGTGTAGTTAAGCCGGATGAGGTTACAACATGTATTGTTACATTGCAGAGATTTATATTTTGGGGCTTAACACTGGGATCATGAACTAAAAGTAAATTTTGTAAATGATTACAACAAAATACCATATAACATAGTCATTAATTAGGCATTAATGACAACTAGTAGTGACAGCTGCAATTACTCTTCTCAGAATGCTAGTCATTTAGACCCTTAGTAGTGATTAATAAAAGTAGATAAATAATAAATCTTACTCACTCTGTTCCTTAGAGCATGCCCACTGGTTAACCAATTGGATTGGTGATATGTCCATTTTATATAGTGTTTTACCCCCGTCCCTTGGTCGTTATTTAGTAGTGTTTTTGGCTCTTTCGGGCCACTTTTATTACTAATTTGTGTGTTCTAGTGTTTTTCGTAGTCTTAGTTGTATTTTACAGGAGATTGCATTCTTAGAGCATTTTCCCGGGCTTTATGGATCAACTACGAAAGCTAGAAGGACACGACCACTTTTTGGAGCCCAAGATCGGTGAGAGCTGGTGATTAAGGGCTCGGTAATTGGGATCCCGAGGCATTTGGACCAAGTACTTAAGACTCGAGGAGGAAATCCGGATTGGGCCGAGAAATCAAGCCCAATCGAAGTCCAGGCTCAAGGAGAAGCAACCGCCCGATCGGGCTACCTCTAGCATGATCGGGCGCGGCAAGACTAGTAGGCTGAGCTTGCTGAGGCGCGCCCGATCGTGCGAGCTTCTAGCACGATCGGGCGATGCTTCTTGGGAAGAACGCGAAGAAAAAGGCGCGCCCGATCGGGCGCGCGTTTTTAGAAGACCTGATTAAGTTTAGTTTTAATTCCTGTTTTAGAAAACGTTTAAATACGATTTTGTACGGAATTATTAGAGTATCTTCTTCCTTAGACTTTCTCTCTCTACTGAGGATCTTTTCTCTCTCTTAAATCTTCTCTCAACTCTTGTTCTTGATTATTTTTCCCATTAATACAGATTAGTTTGGTAACGATTTCTCTTCTCTTAATCTTAGTTATTTACTTTATTCTTTTTATCATGTCTTGCTTTATTGCTTTGATTAGTTTAGTTTTTAATATGTGTGAGTAGTTTTATTTCTAGGGTTTAAGGGGATCCATAAATAATATGAAGGGGTAAATTGTCGTTGTTAACTATCAATGTTAGATTTATTTCCTATTGATTAATTTAAATGCTCTGTGACTAGATTATGCCTATATTTTATGCATGAGTTTGACAACATTGATTTGAGATTCGACAGATGAGAATTAATGTTTAGGTCTAGTTTCTATAGGCAGATTAATTTATAAATGGTTAAGTCGAGATTCGAGAGATGAGATTTGATACCGGTAAATTAATTGTGTGATTGTAATACGTAGCGAAAGCCCTTTACAATCTGGTTAATTGATGCATTGATGATTGACTATTATTGGTTATTGGTATTGCATGATAATTTCTTATTGAATTGTTTTAACGTTTTACAATTGCGGCTTGTAAAAGTGTAGCAATATTAAATTGATGAATCGAGCAGATGTTAATTTGATATTAAAGGATATTTTCAATAAGAACTTAGATCTAGTAAATTGCGAAAGCCTGTTAGATCTATGGTGATTAATAAATTGCGAGAGCCTGTTAATCGTGTTATTTATTGCAATGTTAATGATTGATTACTATGTTTTACCCTGGAATATTATTTATTGGTGAACCTATACCCTAGATCCTTTCATATATTGTTTTCTCTCTATTCTCAATCTTAGTAGTTTAGTTTCTTGTTCGAATATTAATATTGGTTACTTAGATAATTTAGATTATAATAATTAATTAGGAGTAAAAAAGACTTGTTTCCCTGTGGAGATCGACCCTACTTTCCAATCTACTTTAGTTAGAGGACTTAGGAATTATTTTTTATTAGGGGATACGACTTTACCTTGTCAGTTGGTTATTAGGAGAGAGAAAAGTGAAAAAATAATAAAAAAAATTGAAGAGAGAAAAAGTTGGGGGAATATTTCAATAACCTGGTTATTTGGGGTTGGTTATGCAATAAAATATTGCAAGTGGGTGGGTTTTTTTGACAACCCTTATGACGTGGCACAAGAGGATTTTGGCACCTATTTCTTTAATCAATGGCTGAGATTTGCTCTGATTTTTATTACCGTTGTAATTTTGTAATGGCCATAATTTTTATAATACAATTCTAAAAAAAAAAAAACACCAACGACTCTATTTTTATTTTTCTCTATAAAATGAGCCCAATATTGAGGTATTCATTCCTACAATATCACAACCACAAAATGAAAAAGAAGGTCTTTTTTGCCAAATTACAAGAAGCTGGACGAAAGGATGTTGAGCGTGATTTTGGAGTATTACAAGCTCGTTTTGCAATAATACGGAATCATGCGCTAGCTCGTGACACATCAATGTTAGGAAAAATAATGATAGCATGTATCATTATGCACAATATGATCGTTGAGGACGAAAGAGATACGTATAAAACGTATTACGATCCAAATGAATATGATCAAGCTACAAATGCGTCTTCAAGTAATAGAAACACTGAAGAGCCTTTTTAGTTCGAAAATAGCAACAACCGAATTGCAAGTTTGGAAATTTATATTTCTAATACAGCTCGTGTTCGTGATGAACCTATACATAAAGCCTTGAAGAAAGACTTTATTGAACATATGTGGCTTAAAATTCGGTGTTAAACAGTAGGCAAAATAATTTGCATTAATAGCTGTATAATCGTAACATTAAATTATTGTATTTGTATTCAAGCACAATTCGTTTTTATCTTTGATTGAATATGTATTATTTTTATTATTATCAAATTTAGTAAAGTTGCAATTATTGTGTATTTCTTAATTATTGTGTGTTTCTTAATTAACGACTAATTACTTACTAATTAAATAATATAATGCATTAATTTTAAACTTAATTCATTTTATTTAAGTAATGTATGCTAATAATAATTATTAGTTTTAATTGATTATTACCAAGTGCATTATTTATATATGATAGGATTTAAGAGAGATATTGTGTGGTGGGTTGGGTAAAAGTAGGAGAGAGAAAATGTATAACTAAAAGTTGTGGTTAACTATTGGGAGACATTGATTATTAAATGGGTATAAGAGTGGTTATAGGTGAGGTGAAAGATGTAAAAATTAATAAAATAAGCAATAATCCTAATGGTTGTGGGCAACAATTGTGTTTGCTCTTACTAATAGTCTCTTAGAGCAAACACAATGGTTGCCCACTAATATTGGGCTCATTTTATAGAGAAATATAAAATAGAGCCGTTGGTGTTTTTTTTTTATTTTTTTTTTTTTGAATTGTAGTTTAAAAATTATGGATGTTACAAAATTACAACGGTAATAAAATCAGAGCAAATCCCAGCCATTGATTAAATGAATTAGGTGTCACAATCTCAAAAAAACCTTGTCATTATGTGTCACTATCAAAAACAATAAAAAATATTCCATGACCAAGCTACAATAACCGGTTATTCTACTAACCAGGTTATTGAAAATTTCCCCCAAAAATTTCTCTCTCTTCATTATTTTATTATTATTCCACTTTCTCTCTCTTAATAACCAACCTCAATAACCAATGACTGGGTATACTCTTAAGGTTAGTTTTCAGACCCAAAATGATAGTCCCCATTTGCTTTTTTCAAGTATCATTAATATCAATTTTTTGCCAAAATTCCTTTCAACTCGCAACAATATTTTCAGTTTAGTTCAGTTTAGTTCAGTTCAACTCCAATTCGTTCGGTTCAGTTTAGCTTTCTAATTTCCCTCTCTCATAAAAATATTTCTTTTCATCTCAGTTCAATCAGCTTCAATTAGTTCAGTTCAACTCCAATCAATTCAGTAAATGTGAACAGACCCTACGTATATTTATTAATTTTTCTAAATTGCCCATAAGAGACTATGAAGTATGAATAAAAGGGAGTAAAACGCACCGTATACAGTACATCACAAAATTCACAATGACATAAACCCTGTCTCTGATGCTGGCATGCTGCGAAACCGAACACTTACATTTCTGTGCAGTAAACTTGTTAAACCCTATTCACTTCTTCCACCGTCGACTACGCCAACTACGACGGCGACAATGGCTTCCACCGCCGTCGATAATCTTCCCGCCGATTCTCAAACCTCATTACCAAACCTCCATTGAAGAGTGTCGATGAACCTGACGTCGGAATCCTCTGCTACATCTCTCACCTCCCTGGTTTTCGCGGCATTCTCAAACAAAGGTATCATCGTCAAAAAAATCATTGCTTAATCAGTTAATTACAATTTTTTTCTGCTTCAAAATGTGTTGATTTCGCTTTAATTTGGTTGAATTTTTTAGGTATTTCGGATTTTCATTGTGAATGAGGTTGATTTGGATGGAAATGTTGTGCATTTAACTTCATTGCATGTTTTCTCCTGAGGTATTTACCTAATTAGTATTAGTTTAAATTGAGGTGTTCTTCAAATTTTGAATTAGTTTGTGATTGTGAAATTTGAGTTTTGTTTGATATTGTTAGTTGGCTGAAAACAAGGAAGAGATTGTAGCTGAAAAAATCAGATAAAAGTTACACTGAAGAAATTGAGTCATTTAGGTTATTAGTAGGTGACGAGGATGCTGATCGCCCTGAAAGAATTGATTGAGAAGATTAGTGCTGGTGTTGATCATGATATTTCACCTTTAGTTCTTTCTTCCGAGTTCGGATAAAGTACACCGCACGGTAATGTCTTGATTCTCAATTCAGATTACTTTAAGCTTTGATGATATGAATTTTAGCTTGATATTTGATTTAGTAAACAAATCATATGTGTGCTCTATAGAGTTTAGGAGAAGAGATACTTTTCTCATTAAGGAGTTAAGCCTTTATATAGGCAATTACAAGAGAGGTTACAGTGGGATTTGAGAGAATAAAATCCCCTAAAATTAAGCTTATACATAGGAGCAATACTAGGAATACTAATAAGTAAACTAAGAACCTATACAAGCAAATTGACTATATTCTACAATATACAATAAAAATAATATCCCATAAATGTGGGTGATTGATTTTGACTATTTATATCTTCTACATAACCCCGCAAGATGGACGAACCGTTTTAGCAAGTCCAATCTTGGTAAATAAGTCATGAAATCGAGACCTTGCTAGAGGCTTTGTGAGACCATCGGCTAACTGATCACGGCCTGAGATATGTTGTACACGAAGTGTACCTCTTTGAACTTGTTCTCGTACAAAGTGGAAGGCCAATGCTAGATGCTTCATACGAGAATGAAAAACCGAATTAGCCGCATAGTGAGTTGCTCCCAGATTATCACAATAAATGCTAGGAGCTTTGTTAACATGAACCTCTAATTCTTGGAGAAGAGACTTAAGCCATATGACTTCAGCACTAGTGGTTTGCCATGGCTCGAAATTCAGCTTCCGTCGAAGACCGAGCTAGAATCTTTTGCTTCTTTGAACTCCAAGATAAAGGATTTCTGCCTAAATAGACAATGTAAGCGGTGGTTGAGACATAATTATCTCGATCACCTGCCAATCCGCATCACAAAAAGCATGAAGTTGTAATGGAGATTGACGATGAATAATAATACCATGATGTGAAGGTACCATTAAGGTAGCGAAGTAGCCTTTTTAGTGCAGCATAGTGTAGGTCTGTAGGCTTGTGCATGTATTGAGATAGCTTGTTTACCGTAAATGCTACATCCGGCCTTGTTAAAGATAAATACTAAAGGCTACCAATTAGCGGCACGATAATCAGTGGGATTAGATAGTGGTGAGCCATCAGTGAAATTGAGAGAAGGATAAGTAAGCCATAGGTGTTGGAACCGGCTTCGCATCGGACATCTTGGCACGTTCTAATAAGTCTTGTATATATTTCTTTTGATTTAAAAACATCCCATGCTCATGAGGTAGTACCTCGACACCAAGAAAATATGATAGGGACCCAAGTCTTTGAGAGAGAAGCGGGATGCCAAACTAGTAATAAAACCTGTTAGAGCGGAAGGTGAAGGATCCATAATAATAATATCATCAACATATACCAATAGATAAAATGTGACATTATTTTGCTTATAAATAAACAATGAAGGATCAGCAATTGAATTACGAAAACCATACGAAAGAAGATAGGTACGGAGTTCTTGATACCAAGCTCTTGGAGCTTGTTAGAGGCCGTAGATAGCCTTATGGAGCTTGCATACATGAGTTGGATTATCCTATCCAAGAAATCTTGAGGTTGTGACATAAAAAACATCCTCATTAAGATGGCCTTGAAGAAAGGCGTTGTTAATATCAAGTTGCCGAATGGTACACCCATTTGTGACCGCAAGAGATAACATAAGACGTTCAGCGGCTTATACTTGACTCAATACACCCATTTGTTGCCAACTACATTTTGAGATGGGTGAGATGGAACAAGAAACAAAGTAGCATTTCGTACCAAAGCATCATATTCCTCTGTCATTACATGACGCCATTGAGGATCTTTTAGAGCTTGGGTAATGTTGCGGGGCTCAAGCGATTGAACTTGAGTGGTGGTGAGATTAGCAAACTTTGGATTTGGCTTAACAATATTGTTTTGTAGTCGTGTGACAATGTTTCTAGTGGGAGGAGGTGGTGGTGGGAAGGAGAAGAAGACAACATAGTGGTGGTTGGTGTAATTGGGGTTGATGGTTGCGTAGGTGAAGGTATGATAGGAGTGGATATAAGTGGTGATTGAGTCTCAACATTGGGTGGGTTGCACAGTGGGCGGCACTTCAATGGGAATAGCCACTGTACACCATTCGTCCACATTAGAAGGGGATGTGGGAGTAGATGTGGGACTAAAAGTTGGGAAAGGGAATACATCATCTACAAATTTTACATGTCTAGAGACATACACTCTATTGGTGGGAAGATGTAAGCAATAATATGCACTTTGTGATGGAGAATAACCAACAAAGATGCATGGAAGAGATCGATTATCAAGTTTATGACTAGCATATGGCCAAAGCCATGGATAACATAGACTACCAAAATTTTGCAACTTTGAGTGGTTAGGTACGACACCAAGAGACGAAGATAAGGTGAATCATTGTGAACTGTGTGGGTTGGGAGACGATTTATTAGATAAGTGGCTGTAGAAAAAGCATATGGCCAATATTTTAAAGGCATTTTGGCATGAGAAAGTAAAGCTAGTCTTGTTTCAACAATATGCTTATGCCGACGCTCCGCAAACCCATTATGTTCCGGGTATGAGAAGGAGTAGTAAGATGAGAAATGCCATGAGTAGCAAAGTAAGGTCTAAGTTTCTCGTATTCTCCTCCATTATCACTAAATACTTGAATTCTGGGCCTTTTAAAATATTTTTCCACTAGGGCCCTAAAATGATGGAAAGTATTCTCAGTGTCAGACTTTCTTTTGAGAGGATATAAACCAAGTGTATCTTGTAAAGTGATCAACAAAAATTACATAATATTTGTAATTGTCATGTGATACCACTGGACTAGACCAGACATCAGTAAAAATGAGATCAAGAGGAGCATTTGAAGTAAGAGTGGAGTTATAGAAAGGCAACTTGTGGCTTTTATTAATATTGCATGAATTACAATATGACATAGAGAGATTGGAGATACCTAATGAAAACTTGGAATTTAAAATCTTAAGGATAGAACTAGATGGATGCCCAAGCCGATGGTGCCAATCATGAATGGGCTTTTTGAAACTTGTATATACTCGAGGAGTTGACGGGTATCATTCATAAACTCCAGCTTTAGAAGGCCCCTGAAGAAGAGTTGTGCCCTTCAATTGTTCCTTGACACGAAAAAAAGAAGATAAGAATTCAATGGAAGTATTGGTTTTCTTGACAGAACTTGGAAATAGAAAGAATATTTTGTGATATAGATGGAATATGTAAGACATTAGAGAAAGTAAATAATTTAGAAGGAGTTGTAAGAGAGAAAGAACCAGTGTTTGCTATCGGAAGAGATGAGCCATCACCAATCACAATTTCATCCGAGCCATCATAAGGTGCATGTAGAGAAAGATTGTTGAGATCATATGTGACATGATGAGATGCTCCACTGTCTAAAAGCCAACCATTATTAGTCGAGGAGCCGGGATTAACTGAGTGCACCATATGAGCTTGGGGTAGAGAATGGGAATGTTGACCCATCTGACCCGTTTTAGCATAGACCGGATTTGGTACGACAATGTTAGGAAATAGATTCTTGAAGATATTGCATTTGTCGAGAGCATGACCGGTAGCACGACACCATTGACATTTACCCAAAAAAGGGCATTGTGACTTCACTGAAGAAGGAGAGTGAGGAGTAGGAAGCAAGCCCGGTGAAAAAGAGTTTGATTGCTTACCCTTGTGATAACCTTTCTTGTATTGAGTAGCATGCACAGTGGCCAGGTATTGGGTGGGGGAGGGTGTATTAGCAACAACCACCTCCTTAGTAATGAGTTTTTCATGAAGTTCTTCAAATGAAATGGCGGTGTCTCGCGCATTGACAACATCAATGACAGATTTGTACACCTCATAATCAAGTCCATGGAGCACCTTGTCATTGATATCCTCATGGTCCATAGGCTTTCCCATAGCGGCAAGACGATCGGTGTGTGCCTCTTGATGGCCTGCATATACTCATGAATTGATTGGTTGGTATGAGTAATTTTGGAGAGTTGAGCCTTGATTTGTTTGAAGTGCCCACAAGATGGACTAGCATAAGTGTAGGAGAGGATGTCCCATGCCTCCTTGGAAGTACCAGTTTGAGATACAAGAGGTACAATAGAGCACCAAAAACAAGCCGATCTTGTCGGAACCAAGTTAAGGCTGCTGGATTGGAGACAGATGAGCCATCATCATTGGTGATAGAGGTAGAAGGAGAGGGAAAAGAGCCATCAACATATTTCCACAGGTCATAGCCTAGAAGAGTTGCTTGCAATTGAGTCTTCCAGGCTATGTAATTGGTGGGTGTCAATTTGATGGTATTTTGTAATTGTAAAATGGTGAATTTTCTGGCAGGCTCATTAGCATTAGGAATGAGGGACCGATCATTAGCCATTGGAAGAGAGAATTTTTTTTTTTGAATAGAGTAGAATCTTTTAGGCGACTGATACCATATAGAGTTTAGGAGAAGAGATACTTTTCTCATTAAGGAGTTAAGCCTTTATATAGGCAATTACAAGAGAGGTTACACTGGGATTTGAGAGAATAAAATCCCCTAAAATTAAGCTTATACATAGGAGCAATACTAGGAATACTAATAAGTAAACTAAGAACCTGTACAAGCAAATTGACTATGTTCTACAATATACAATAAAATAATATCCCATAATTTGGGTGATTGATTTTGACTAATTTATATCTTCTACATGCTCTATGGCTTTGTATCGAATAACTTGCGAGTTGTGACTTCAGTTACGTTTACTTGCTAAAATACATTTAGGTAGTGTTTGGAACCTTGATTTCATTTGAAATGAAAGAATTCGATTCTGGAAATTCAATTCCAAACACCATGTTTGGGAGATTCTAGAATTTATGTTCTAACATTTCAATTTCACCAAAGTGTTTTGGGAAAAATCTGCAATTAAAACTCAAGAACATTAAATAATTTTCTGTACTTCATACTCTGTATTGTTTTCTTAAAACCCTTGATTCTTGATTTTTTTTTTACCCCAATTTGAGTTCTCTCTCCTCAAATTGCTTTGCCTCCTCATCTTAGTCGTGTTCGTCGGAGCCGACATCGGTAATCTAAATATTGTTTCAAGGTAATTAAAGGCTGTGCTATTATTGGTAGAGGATAAAATCGGTCGTTGGACAATCACCCTAAAACCAAACAATAATTCTACCTAAACCAACCTAAGACAAGTCTAGGGTAAGTAGAGGATCGTATCCACAAGGAATGGGTAAGTACACCGAGAGTATGAAACGGTTGCAATCTAGTTCGGTCACAAATTGGGGGTTTTGATTAGGTAACTACTATGGAGAAAAACACTAGGGGGAAATAAGGATCGACTCCAACCAAACTAACGGATCAAAACAATAGGCAAGTATGAACACAAATTGGGTGATAGAGAGGCACTCAGCATTGCCTTCTTTCAAAGCCACAACACTAAGCATTTCTAAACCAAACTCAACTAACAAGATAGGCCAACCAAGTCTTAACAATGAGAAGTAGACTACTAACTCGGGTTTGTCTTTCGATCGGTCCAAAAGCATTAAGGCACAAGCAATTGAGATTTCTCACCTAATTGTTGCAACTAATACTACTACGTCATTCAAACAAGGAACCATAATCAAGAGGAATTTAGCATAATCATATAAGAATAGGCTAACAACTAGACTCCATCTCTCAATGTAAGCATAGAAGTGAATACATGAGCAATAAGTGGCCATCCAATTACACATGCAATTAACCAATTCTTTAACAATCAATCATCAACCCAAAATAAACATGCAAGCGCATACATCAATCAACCCATGGCTTGGTTGGGTCTTCACCCAACCCCTAGCTAATTAACTACTCACTAAACATGATGAAGGACATTAAAATAACAAGTTCCAATTCAAACATTAAATTAACAAGTTGAGAGGAGTAGTAGGAATAAGGTAGATTGGACATGCAACAACAATTAAGCAAGATTAAGAGAGGAATTAACAATTCAAAGTAAATAAAAACTGAAATTAATGAGTAAGAGATAGAGGAAAGAGATTACTTAAAATGCTTCAAAGTTGAGAAATTGTTGAATTCAAGAGAACGATCTTCAATTAATCTACTACAATGATTGAGTTTGAGAAGATCTAAGCTTATTAATGAGGGTTGAGAAAAACTAAGGGCCTAAGAAAACTAAAAGGGAAAGAAGATCTCAAAATCTGAAGTCAAGCGTCCTATTTATATGCCCAGAAATTACATCGTAAAATCCGTCAAAATCGGGCTTCAGAACAGGAGGAGCGCCCGCTCTTGGGCTCTCTGCATGCCCTCTCCTCTTGCAGCAGTTTGGGGCAGAATGTAGGAAAACAGGGAGGAGCGCCCGCTCCTTGAAGGCTGCACGCCCGCTCCTATATGTGCAGGGGGAGGCAGAATGTGGTTCTTAGGTGCACGCCCGCTCCTCCTTTCCTTTGCTTCCAAAGAGTATTTCTTCATGCTTATGCTATTTAGCCCATTTTTCATTGTACCTACAAGCACGAGCACACATATAAAAAGAAACGGGGAAGCCAAAAGATGCAAATTAGCACAAGAGGAGTTAGAAAAAGGGATTAAAGTAGGGGAAAGAGTACAAAATTGTGTTTAGAAAGCCATGATAAGTGGACAAATAAAACACTTATTATACTTGATAGAGTTTGAGCAATTAGCTTCAAGTTTTAATGGGGGATAGGAAAAAAAAAAATATATATATATATATTATCATTCAAAAGGGAATGAGATGTACATGAAAAAAAAAAAAACAAAACAAAAAAAAAAAAAAAAAAAACAAAAAACATTCAAGCATAGCCGTGGAAATTTCGAGACAATCAAGCATAACAATTAATTGTTCAAGAAATTCGAGCTTCCATTAATTGGTGGCTGAAAAGAGAATGGAAGAGGGGGAGAAACAAAACAGCAGCAATAAACTTATGGGCTTTAAGAATTTGAAATGACAACTTTTGTTATTGGATTTCAAATTCATTAAAATGGACAGAGTTTTTAAAGGGTTGGATTTGTCTCAAATCCAATTCCAAATTCTATATGTTCCCAAACAAACCATTAGTGTAATTATTATTATATTATTATGGCCTTAATGGTGCATTTATCATCTAAATTTGATTTGAATTTATATAATTTGCTTTCATCTCATAATGGTTGTGAACTCGTGATAGGGCAGTCAGCCAGTCAATTCTCCCTGTTTATTATGAAGAAGTTCTCACTTATTCTTTTCTGGGCAAAAGTTTATGTTGTGTATGTTTGAGATGATACAGGCGGTGCACAACTTCTTCAAGGAAAAACTGAAATTTCTTGTCACAGACACAATAGATGGTCCTAAAGATTCATCGAAATGCATTCGAGTGAGACCTAATTCTTCAGGAAATCAAAATAATGGAAGAAATTTTCGCAAGCGGAAAGATAGGAATGAGAAGCCATTTGATAAAAGAGGTTCTCATGACTGGCCAGAGCATCTTGGCAAGTTCCTCAGGTAAGATTATCTGTCTGCTTCTTCCATTGAATTGATGCTTCCTGTCCTGAATACAGGTTAAAATTATTGTATATTTGTATCTGTAATGAAAACATAACTAGCCTTCTGACCCGTGCAATGCACGGGATGTTTAGGTGCACAATATAAAATTTTATTTTATAATATATATTAAATGAAAGATGAATAGTCTATAATGGAGAAGAAGGGGTGGAAATTGAATAAAATTGTAGAAAATATTAAGTTTGGGAGAGTAAATCAAATAACATTCATACATGTATTGAGTACAAGCTAATGCTTTTTTTTTAATTAAAAATATGAGAAACGGGATTAATTAATGAAAATGTGAGGTGACATGTGGCATTGGTGAAAAATTAAAGTTTACATGTGGTATGAGCATGATGGGGAAGGTGGTTTGTGTTTTTAAATACTAAGTATAGATATAGATGAATTAGATGCTTATTGCATGATGCTAATCAAAGAGAGGACTAAGATGGGGAGTATATGACTAATTGGCTATAATTTGCAAGAAAGGTGTGCTAATTTTATGCCAGTATTGTTCTCGCCTAACTCTCATATGTGTCTCGATTCGAATAATGACATAACATCAATATCTTTTTGATAGACATGTTATAAGTTATTTCATGTTTCTACCTGATTTTGACTTATTTCTCCGGCGTGTTTCTGAAATGCATTATTGATCTGTTCATGTAGGTTTCATCTTTACAAGGAGAACAAGGATACTCAAGAGGTCTTGAGGTTGATTGGCAAGATGCTTGGTGTCCAGGTTACCATTCCCATTTTTCTCTGTGTATATATTGCAGAAATTTGATTGGGTTCCATTGGCTTAATTGACAATTAAAAGGCATGCAACATACTGAGAAATTGACATGACATTTCTCACTAGACAACTTTGGCAATTGCAATACATAGTTATTTAAACTCGATACCTTTTTTGGGTTCATGATTTTATTGATTGTAACAAAATACTAGAAATAGCCAAAAAGTATCAAATTAAGATGATTTGATTTTAAGGTTGCAAATTACATTTATTGGCAAAATTGCTTGTAGAAAAGGCTGTTGTGACAAATTTTCCTAATTTAAACTGCATTTCTTTATATTTCAGACATTATTGACTATCGATTCTTTACTAAAAGCTTGTTAGCTTTCTGTTTTGCAGCCTAAATCATTTGGATTTTCAGGTACCAAGGATAAACGTTCTGTGTCCACTCAACAGGTATATTTCTCTTTACAGCCGAGCTTAATGTCGTTACTCATTTTATCTTCTTTTTTGTCCATTGACTGATATGTAATGTTCCATCGATGTATTTCTCCAATTTAATTTTTCATTTGTTTATTTGCTGGAAGTTATAATCTTGTAAAATTGCTTGTGGTGATATGTAAAACTGCTGTTCATGTGACCTTTAAATCCCAAGGTTTAGAGGTTTTCATTGAAGCATAAATGTACTGGTTTTCATTGAAGCATAAATGTACCTAGTTTTCTTGATCTTTTATTGCTTCATTCTTGAAGTTGACTTCCAGATTTCCAATTGCTTTTAGGCCTTTCTGGTTTTTTCTAACAACTGAAGTCTTTTTTTTTTTCAGGAACTTGTTCATCTGCTTTATGTTAAGAAAAAACATGAGTGAAACTGTGAATTTGTGAAAATATAAAAAGAGAAATTTTGTAGTTCATGATTCTTCCTTTATTATTTATTTTTTAATAATATTTCGATGTTGTTCATGCTTTTGAAGTAACAATTTTAAGTGAAATCCTGTCAGAGGGAGAATTCTTGTTTGTGTCTGCATTTAAAAAAAAAAAAAAAAAAAAAAAAATACTATTCTCTCTCCTTGACCCTTCTTGTAACCTTTCTTTTCAGGAGTCATATTGTCAAAGCATCTCCTTTCCTTTTTAATATGTAGTTATTGGGTCCAATTTTATAGTCCATAACTTCATGTGGTATCCAATGGCATACTACATATATATATGTTCTGATAACTAAGCTTGGGCTCATGTGTTGTGTGTTTTGGTCCTTGTGCATGTTCTTTGCCTGATTTACTCCTTATTTGGAAACATCTCCCTACGTCTTTGCATATCTAGAAGTTAGCTGTTGGGAAAA